AATATTACATATGATGATACATAATGTAGTATTTAATTAATAAAATGATAAAATATATTCGATCGCAAAATTGGAAAATTCATTTGTATGAAAATATACTTTAGGTAAGTGATATAAAATTGAAAAATCTTTCATATAGTAATACTATTATGTGTAATATGCGAATGGTATAAAAAGCTCTCTTACAGAGTATTAATATCAGGCGTAATTCTGGGAATAGTATAAACTTAATGTATTATAAATGGTATCGCGCAATAATATAATTAAGCAACTTATAGTATGTATAACTAAGATAGTTAACTAATAATTAGTATAAATGAGATATTGCGACGGGTTTTCTGAGGAGGGCCGAGCCTCGCTCGAATCCCGTCGACAAGTCGACGGTTGCCGACCCGGTGGAGCGCGGGACTTATTGCGCGCTCCCGTGCTAGCAAGTTTGGGCGCCAGGCCCGGGCGAACCGGGCCGTCACGAACTGAACCCACGGGGGTCGGGCAACCGCGAGAGGGCCCTCGGCTGCTCAGGGGATAGTCCGGGGGTGGCAGGGCGGGATTCTTTAGGGGGGATCTGTCGCAGAGTACGACAGGGAAGTTGCTCAAGAAATACACCCGGTTAGTTTACGGAGAGTAATAACAATGGTATATTCTGTTGAAAATTAGAGCCGAGCGACTCGAGCACGGCGAAACTATTATAATACACTTACTACGCTATGGCCCGCGTACGTGGCGAAATCACTCTACCCTACCTACTGTGCGATAACATGAGCTCGCAGCCGAACGGTTATGCGACTACGACTACGCGCCTAAACGAGGATACGGTCCAACGAGTACACTGGGACTTTTACGCTCCGACCGGAGTACGCGACAGAACGGTTACATGACGACGGCTACGCGACAGAACGAGAATATGACGATGGCTACGCGACAGAACGAGAATATGACGACGGCTACGTGACAGAACGAGAATATGACAATGGCTACGCGACAGAACAAGAATACGGCGACGGCTACGC